TTRKTAGWCATTTAGTCAATCATCTAGATGAACAGGAATCACCCATTGTCTCATTGAATACTTCAATATTTCAACTTATTTCTTCATCAGGTCATGCTAGTTGATGTATGAAAGTGCTGGGTTTTCTTGCAAAAATCTTAACTTCATTTTATAAAATTTARTTAATAAATCTTAACTTCATTTKATAAAWTTTWWWTWSMARRRASSMTCKYAAGCAWCGCATCRAGCTTTGTTAGTTTAGTGGTAAAATATCTGCCTTCCAAGCAGATGTCCTGGGTTCGATTCCCAGACAAAGCATTTTTGTCGTTTGATCTCCATCTGAAACTCTTCGCGCCAAATATTCTTTATTTTGAACAAATGTAGTACAAAAATTTGAGTACGTATCGGTACGAAGGGGAACGTCAAGATGAACCCAGTTGATTTCTAGTTTCCACGGTTTTTGTTGCATTCAACGGAAAAACCTCGTACTTGTCATGTAAAATAACTCTCTTTCCGTACGATCATTATCGTTKATATTCATTAGAATTCTATCCCGTAATTTTTTACGACCAAACTGATGCGTTACTAATGTATTGTTGCTTCTCAAAATTTATTCGTCGATCCTCGCTTCCTTCATTGTACTTCGCTGCCCTGATGGTCTGAAATCAGTTTCTAGCCACGGTCAGAAACACGATAACCTCTTAGATTGGTAGATCTACAGGGTACTCGTGTGGTAGCAACCATCGAATGATCGAACTGCAAGTAGATTTAAAAACAGTTATCGTGGCCTTCGCATTCGCATTCTTCTTTCACTTCTATCATGAAATCAAATTTGTTCATCACTCCGCCAAAACCTCGTTTGGAGCGAGAGCGTAGTAAAAGTACGATGGRGCAAGATGCAATCGTYGAGAGTGTCAAGAGGRGRAAAACCAATCTTCTCGATGAATTTCMCTCTTCATCCAGCGGAGTTGATGAGAAGAATCAAGCACATTCGTCCACAGCCCTCGCAATCGACTCCATAGAGAACAAGAGACAGAAACAGACTTCGCTYGCGTTGCGTGTCGATATGAACAGCCCCGCTATCCCAAACATTRTCACGCCACCCGCAGTATCCTCGTTCAAACCCGATCCTTTGGCTGCTGGAGATGCCAAGGAATCATCAGCATCGCCCCCGCTCCCGCCCCCGCCGCCATCATCGTCACCAGCCATTGAAATAGACGCAGAGCTGCATGCAACGACAGAGGATCCCCTCTTGTTGGCAACGGGGACAGCTCTAGCAGTGAAGCATGACGTACCGGCAACMGCACTCARCCCCCTGCGGCTCTCCTCACCAGAAGACGAAGACGAAAATGAGCAAGCAAGAGAACGAAAAGAACAAAACATCGAGACCAAACAGGAAGTTTCASCAGCCATTTTCAACACAAACGAATGTGCCGGAAAAAAGCGGCCTCGAGATAAAACGAACGTAAATATTTCTTCATGTGTTGACGACATGATAAAGAACAAAGATCACGACGAATATCAATACTGCAAGTTGGAGTCACCTATTTCCCCGTCCGTTTCCGGTTCTTYCAAGAACTGCAAGATGRCARAGCTTCTTGATATAAATCGTTGGTGGGAAGCGAAATCTCCACAAGAAAGAGCGTCTCTGGAAGAAAAACAAGGGCATCTGAATGGAATTGCCACCGGCGACCAACACAGTGCCGATCAGGCTCTGCAGATGTTGTTATGGGACATCGGATTTGAGTACAGTGTCTATGCCCACCAGTTCGAAGCAATTCGTTTTGTGGCGGGCCTCGTCCCGACGTTTCCCTTTCCGGAGCTRACACACCAATCGGAAACGAAAAAACCATCGCGGTTCTGTGCTCTTGAACGAAACGAGACCGGTGCCGTGGCTCGATCCAAGGCAGTCCTCTCAGCGTCCAAAGAATCCTTTCGCTGGCATAAAGAGGAAGCGAATAAAAGCAAGACTACGGACAACAACGACAACAATGACTTCGACAATACCAAATACGCCAAACCGTACAATTATATTCTTCCCACAAGAGGGATGCTCCTGGCCGACGAAATGGGACTCGGTACGTATGTTTTGTTTGCCATCCAAAACCTTTTARTTGAGTACCACAAGGATTTRACCTTAGCTTGCCTATTCCCTATCCTCKCTCCATTGATACTCAAGGCAAAACTATCGAAGCACTAGCAGGAGCTGCATTGCGGAACGCTACTTTACGCTACTCTAATTTGTTAGGGCTACCAAGTTCGTCGAGTAAAACTTTGCCAACATTGATTGTTTCACCTCAGGACGGGATCCAGGAACAGTGGTACGACACTCTGGTTAAGTCGGGGGTGAAGCCTTCAAACATAACGGTTCTAGGTGATACGMAGACACAAACCTTGGAACGGCATAATCGTTATAATACTAGTAGTAGTCCCGGAAAAAAATTTGGAGGATTGCGTCGGCAGGGGGGCTCCTTCATTCTCTGCACCCGTTACAAAATTCAGAGCGAACTGAGACTGCTCTTTGCCCATCCCGATTGTCAAATCAACAACAAAAACAAAAACAAGAAAGCAAGACTGAGCAACAGTAGCAATCAGTGGCACACTACCGCCAAGCAAAGGGGAAAGGGCAATTACCTCTTCCCGCACATATCGCAGGCTCTCATAGTGAAAGTTCGAAATCAATACCGGGCCGATAAGGGGAAAGAACGAAACRAATTTATCCAAAAAAAAGAGAAGAGACCTGATTGCGTGGCRCGATTAATTAGAGAGGAGAGGACAAAAAGTTGGAACAAAAGTAATCGGATGTATCGAGCTGCCTTTCAGACAATGATCGTCGACGAGGCTCATTTTTGCAAGAACGTTTTGGCCTTTTGGGGCCTGGGTCTAGCTCTGTTGGGTTTTCAGAGCAAGCGAACCGTTCTACTTTCGGGAACTCCCTACAACAACGGCCCGGCTGATATGTCAGCCCTCATGACGTATATTGATCCCAGCCACGAGGCAGCTGGCATTGATTGGTGGAACGAGGCGGTCACAAAAACTAGCTCCAGTGTCGGGAGTGTTCGAAACAAGGGGAAAAATACGGTGAGCGCCGTCAGCCATTGGCGCAAGGACTTCATGTTGCGTCGATCGAAGGATGTGTTGCTGCAAAAACTACCGCCCCGCATTCGTATAGAAACTGATGTCGGAGCCCATCCCTCCGAGCTTTGGATTTACGCCGCATACGARCAGAAATTTCTAGAGGCTCTGAGACGGCTCAAGATGAATATGGAAGAAGGTTCCCCCGAAGCCCAACACCGAATGAAGAAGGCTTTTGAGCTCATGWTGGCATACATGGCTTGTATGAGAATGTCTCTTATCCATCCCGTTATGCCAGGCGGGCGAGAAGTCACAATTCATTTCTCTCCGTCTCGAAGACACCTCCTWAAACGACAGGAATGCCCGAAKCGATGTGTTCTATGCARTTCGGATCCCACGCATATGGCGGAAAAAGTTGCTGCAAAGCGAAATGAAGGAGAAAAACGAGAACATGGAAGTAAMGGTGTTGATCACAAGTGCAAGGATGAAAATGGTGACGATGACGACGACGACGGCATTTTAGCCTTAGTGGGGGCTATGCGAACCGAAATGGATCTAKACGATGATGATCTAGACGACGAAGATTTTGATTTCGAAGCCAAATCGAAAAGGGAGCGGGAGCTTGAAGAGAAACGACTTGGCCCAATCATTCCCTTGGATCCCGATTTTTGCGATGCTAGCGGCAGCGAGTGCCGTCACTTTGCACACGAAAAATGGTGAGTTCTTGATRAATAGTATATGTGTTTTCGACATTCAAATTCAGAAACGATTTTCCATYTCAACTTGTAATTCTCTCTATACATTTTTCTACTTAAATCCTRCAGCATCGAAAAGTATCAYGCTGACTTTGGCGACGACGCAAGATGTCCAAGATGCTACTGCCTACAAAGACGAGTTCGACAGAATCTTCGACACAGTGTTTACTGTGAGGAAATTAAGACCCATATCCATGACATGCCTGGAGGCTTCATTRCCTCATCAAAAATTGAGGAGGCCATCAAGTGGTTCCGGACAACTGTATCTGGGAATGAAAAGGCGATTATTCTTAGCTTCTTCAAGGGGAGTCTCGATCTCATTGAGGGTATTCTGACGACCAAGTTTGGCATCGAATGTGTTCGATATGATGGAGACGTGAGCAAGGAGACACGAACAAGCGATCTAGAGAGATTCAAGACAAAAGCTACCTGTCGAGTATTACTGGCAACTGTCCAGAGCGGTGGTACCGGTCTCAATATCACTGAAGCAAATCATGTTTGCTTTCTCGATCGTTGGTTCAATCCATGTGTTCACGACCAAGCCGAATCTCGTTGCCATCGTATCGGACAGAAAAAGGACGTGCACATTTCCTACCTTGACATCAATCTAACTATAGATATCGTGATGAAGAGGATTAACGTGCTGAAAGAAGGAAACGCTAATGTCATACTTGCTGACGGAACATCTCTCGGAGATAGATGGAGTCTCGGCTACAAAAACGTTTCTGGSGTGATTGGGAACACACTTACAGCGCTTCTAGCAATGAGGGAAGAAACAATCAACAAGAACGGTGATGCCCCATTGCCTCCATACGATGAATCCCTTCTGGTAAAAAAAATGGAGGAAATCCAAGCCAGAATAGGGAATCTTGAATCCAACGAAACCAAACAAGAGGAAACTAGAGTTGAATCGAAACAGACAGCGATTTTGTTGGATTCTGACGACGATGATGAAATCTTCAACAGATGTCCAGCATTTGCCCAGGTAAATCCTGAAAAGAAAGAGATTCCGACACGAAGGCTAACGAGTCTTAACCAACTTGGASAAAAAAGAAGTCCAATCTTGGATAAGGTAACGACTGAAATGAGAGGTACTCGAACGAAGCATTCGACATCTTTCAGCCGAGTTCCGAGTCAGCCCATGTCCGACGACGACGACGACGACGATTGCTCATTTTTGCACAAAGGTCCTATCTTCAAACACATGTAGTCATAGAATCAMAGCTGTAGCCTTCGACCAAGTCCTCCTACCGGAATAGCTGCACTACTAGGTAATGATCCCCATACAGCGACTTGTATTATTTTCGCAAARAGATTCATCAAAGAAAGCGCACGCGATGGGTGGCTTGTGACGCCAGCAATGGGCACAGAAAAATTCTTTTGGCGGATGGCCATTCAGCCATCAAAGAAGGAACACATATYTCCGTTTAGACAATGAGAGTTGCAGCAGAATGTTTGTACAGCATCTCACCGCACAGCTGCAATGGAATGGCTGGTTTGCTCAAGCGAAGTTCACGGAAGCTATTTGAACGAGCGGTTGCTCACAAGAAATTTTCAAGGGTTCATTGAATCCATTTTTTCCTGGGACATGAAATTTGTGATAAGTGACAAGATCAACAAGTTGGCTCGCTAACRGCTAGTRAGGTTGTTTGAAGTTATGCTCTGAAAAGATTATGCTCTGAAAAGAATGTAGTAGAAGTCTCTAAAAATGAATAATCTGTTTTTGGTCAAGGTACTAATTTATTTGCARAAAATGGTATAACAGGGTTTACACAAATCCACACTAAAAAAGTTTCTTTTTGTTTCCTCGGTAAGTCCAGGGCTGTAAGAATTCTTCAAGGTTACTGGTGGCTACTGTGCACTAAAGATAGTGGTAGTCCAGTGCACTGTAACCAATAAATTTGTCAAAAGGCCTGGTGTTGGCATGTAAAGGGGGTTTGGTGGGGAGGACAAATTTTGTCTCTTCTTGGAGAACACCCTGTTAGTGCAAGTGCTGAACAAAATAGGACACAACACCCAGAGTTAGGCAAGAAGAAAATGCCTAGGTAGGTAAAATTATGACAATTGTCCACTGAGRAAYATGCTTGCCCAATAACAGTCTAACCATGGACTTTTCCCTTTTCCTTTGTTGATATGTAACAAATGATAGTGAAAAGGGAAACATCCCAAACAGATTTCCAGGAACCCTGGGCATTTCCGATTGGGACATGAAGGATACAGCAGGGAAGAAGATTCTACATCCACACTACTACAGGGCATATGGTAGTGCTGACAATCCAGAGTTTTATTATTTTGTTACAAGAATCTTCTTGGCATCCATAAACCCTAGGAACAGCAATTTCAACACAAAATAGTAAGAAAGGGGCAGAGAATTTGCTCAGTGAAATTTTCAGTGCTGAGGACAAAGCCTTTGCTCTCCTGATGCTTTACAATGAACTTCATGTGTGGGAGTCCTCCCTTATGAGAAAGAAAGGCAGGTCAGTCAAGTTTTAGCAAAAGAGATTCTGCAATGCAAGAAGCAGAAGGAGAGACAGGTGGGCTCCAGAGGGGAAGTTTCTGTACCACAAMAAGTTGTGCACTGAGATTAAGGAACTCTGAAAGGACCCTCAAACAGGAGAGCTATTCAAAAAACAGATGAGAGAAGGGTTTAGGGAGGAATGTAGAAAGAATAATGGTAGAGTTGTGCTACCAACTGACTCGGATCCTAGGGTTGACTTTACCATGATGGACACCATTWATGTTTGCAAAAGGTTTAGAAACCTGACCAATGAGCCTGTCAAATGCGCCCAAAACAATTTAATTGTGGGAACAGTGGGGACTGTTGTGGAAGAAGTTTAGTATTGCATGAACGCACTTGTTGAATTCATTCATCTTTCATAATAGTRACACAGTTATTCATGTATTTTCTCATCTGTGAGGTAGCAATGGGGGTCCAACCATTCCATAAATTTGAAAACATATGGTAGCAGAATCATTGTTCCACAATAATGATTCCACCAAGGTAAATCACAAAAACTACACACATGGGGTTGCAACCAAAACTTGCAAACACTTTTTGTGACATTGTGACTTTCAGAGAACCAATTTCTCATAATCCATTCATATTGCAAAAAAGGAGGGCAGCCAATATATGGGAATGCTTTACATACAAATGCCAACTCTTTTGTCTGCAGAAGGTAGGCAAGTCCTAACCTAATGAAGAAGATAAGCTAGCCACTAAACAAATACCAGAGGAGTTATAAAGAAATTGACAGCCATATGTATGGGCTGGAGCTGATATTGTTGCAAGTAGAAGAATTTCTTAAATATTCTGGCTGGATGGAAGAAATAATGAAAGTAGACGTAGACAATATTTCAAACCTCAACAAAATGGTGGTTCTAATCATCAACACCCTCAACAGAAACCTACTACACAGAAGCAGAGGAGATGGCAACAACCTAAGAAAGAACCAAATGTATTTTCACCTCTCCCAGTGCATGAGGTATTTTGGTCCTCTATCTGGTTGGGATTCTGTCCCTACTAGCAAGAGCAATTGCACAATAGAAGTCACTGATAGGACACAACAAATCAAAGACACACTTATAAAACAAACACCATGTAAACATAGTTTGGAATACCAAAGAACAGACAGTTGCAAATTCAAACTGTTCTTCAAGGATGTAAACTGTTTTCAAGCAGGGTCATCCTTTGCAGCAAGAGTACAACCAAACACTTGGCCTACTAGTCTGGCAGAAAATTTCCTTGAGCAAAAAATGGGATCACATCCTCCTATACATCACAATGGCCCTTTTTTCTCATTTGGTGAATTGGCGTAAAGTCATAACACGAATGTAAAGCCTGTACATCATGCATAAAACAGACATTMCTAATCCTACGTCCTGAAAACATGCTGCAAAGCATAGATAATGGACAAAAAAAGGTATTCAATGGCTTGGTCCTTGTCTGATTCACAATCTCTCTGCTGTGTTGTAATTGCAAATTGCACCATACAAATTGTTGGTTCTCCTCTTCTTGGATAAATGCCTTGRGTTTTCCATAAATGTTCCCCATATCCTTCTCAAATCACAATCTCTTTKTGGGTTAGCATTCATTTTGCAATTTTCAGTTGCTAGCTTCTTCTTTGAGTAATGAGCAAACTCCTCCTCCCAATATCAGGGTCTATGTGTTTCAAATTYACATATGTAGAAGTAGTCTTTTCCTGTCATCAGTCTCCAGAAATGAAAGTCCAAATYCTTTCATCCCTCTACTACATTCCATGTGACATCAGTGTACAAAACATCAGTGTAGAAAATCACTGTTCCCCCATCTTATCTCTGCAATACTGGGGTGGTAACCAGGCCTGCCCCAGTGGTTACATTCTTTAATTACCTTCCTAACCAGAGGAGAKAGAATTCCATTTCTTTCTTGGTTAAGTACAATCAGTTGCATCCAACTCTCTTTTGATTCTTTGTCTTTGGATGTGGCCAACACTGGAGAACCACACAGAAGATAGCAAAGAATCACCATAGCTAASACCTKATGTCTGGGYATCCTTCTTCATCATAATTGCCACAGATGGAATTGGCCATGTAGTCTACAGCCTTTTGTCAGATCGGCATTGCCTMTTCTATTTCATTAATATGCCCCACTAGTCTGCTGCTGAGGCATCTCCTTCTTGTTATCATTTCTGTCACGTTACACACTTGTTCTATAATCTCCAAAACTTTGCTCCCTTGCTTTAGTACTAGACAAAGCTTATTGTTCAGGGTTTTGAAATGGTAGGAGTATGGATCCAGATCAATCAGCTCTGCTATGAAGAAGTGGTTGCTAGTATGTAACTTTATTTATTGGCAATATCAACAATGCTCTAGTGAATTTTCAAGCCATCCCACAATTTCCATTATTCTTTTGTACCCGCACAAATAACCTATACRTTTTTTCCTTGTTGTACACACATTGTGGTTCTGTTCCCTGAACATGAGTCCATGAAGTGTTTTGTCTGACAGATTACTAGTCYGCAATTGATAGCCAATTTTATCTGCTTCAACACAAATGACACAAGTAGCGCACTGAAGGTGACACAACCAACACCCATTTTTCTGTACTCTTGCTGATAAAGTAAGGCCACACCATTGCTTTCTGGAGTAGGTCAACCCAGAAAGTGCCTCTAATTTCTGTGGTTTGACAGTGTCAGAATTTAGCCTTATCCCAACAGCATTGTAGTAGCACTCTTTGCTGCGGGGTCCATTCAAAACAGGATAACCACATAGCATATACCAAACTGTAGTTCAGCCAATACATACTAGTATGATGGAAACATCAAAATTAATAGATATAGCTTTCAAATATACTTAGGGAAAACATTTTGATCTGTACTGAGTTGTCTATTCTCAATTTTTGAACAACTTATGACAGAACCA